GATTAGTTGTTTTGGGGTTTGGATTTGGATTTGTTCGGGTTTTTGCTACGTAGCAAGTACGTACGTATAACTAATTTTTTTTACAAATATAGCATGTTTTAATTTCTTAAACCAATAATTGGTGCATATCTTTTTTTTGAACTCTTAAATTTAATACGTATAGTGACAATATACAGTATATATGTATGTATAATGTTAACGTTAAACATTACTGGTAAGACTTAGTATGCATAATTCTTAATATGTATAATAGATTTTTTTTTTTTTAGAATTTTAAATACATATACAGTAAATAAGACAATTTCCTAAAGAATAAATTACAGTAATTATAACTATTTGTGAAATCGAATCTAACGTCAATGATAGGACGTGGGTCAAATTGACCTAACCGATCAGGGTGTAGATACATCCCGTGCTGGATCCTGTAAACCAAATAGAGAGATCCATGCTCAAATGGAAGTAAAAATCCGTAATTTAAAATGAAAGTGCATTATTTGTTTCAGCCATAAGCTTAAAGAATATTGTGTTAGCAAAATAAGTAAAATTATTCATGTGTCCAATAAAAGTGCATTTGGAAATTTTGGATGCTGAATGTTTAAATTTTCTTTTTTTTTATTGAAAAAAAACTCTACGTACTTCTCTGTTATGTACGTACGTACGTAAGTACTTGCGTACTGTGCATGGTCACGTCATTTCCAAAATACAATTATGTGTCATAGTAGCTTGGATTATTCATGAAGGAAGGGCGTCATTCATTTATGTTAATTTAAATAAAAACTTATTGTACGTACTATATCTTAAAATTTATTATTTCTGGTGCACAAAAAAATCAAATGAATATTTTTTTGTATATATAAGCTTATATTAAATATGTATATATATATAACTTGGCATTTCAGCATTTGAGTTTTTTTTTATTGACCCAAAAAAAATAAAAACATGTGATTAAGCATTGATTGATTTTTAAACGGTCAAAGAATTGCTCTTTAAAGGTTTATTAGAGCCACTTATTTCTTTTTAACTTTCATTGGTTAAATAAATATTTGTAATTTTGTAATGAATTAAACGATTCGATAAGTTTGGGAAAAGTGTGAAGTGTGAAACATGGATCGAATATTGATTACAACAAGAATTGCATGGTAGGACAATTGATCGTCTTCACTCTTTACATCAACAAAACATATTCTTTGTATTTACTCATATAAATTATACCAATCTTGAATCGGTTTAGTATCATGCAATATTTCTTGTACGACTATTTGCTATGTAGTACCAAATTTCACGCATGTTCAAAAGACCGTGTTGAGTAGTCTGTTTCTCTTCACTTCTTGTTCCAAGAAGTTTTTTGAAATTTATTAAGGTCGTCATATAGTGTTCATAAAAAAGATAGATCTTGGATTTAATATATATTATACTAGACCAATAAAATGCCGTCGGAACATTCCCGTTCTTCCTCGGGCTCATCGGCAACTTCGGTTCCTACAATTAATATTAAACGAGCTCCTACCCCTCCAAATAATAATAATAATAATCAAACTAATCTAACTAGTAATTCTAACAATGAACAACTTTTAGACGCCATTAATGCACGCTTAAATAGTCAATCAAAAGAAAGAAATCGTGAAAAGAGCACTTCAAGAGCCAGAAGCTCCTCACGAGGAAAAAGTCCTGCAAGGAAATCTGACAAACGAGGTAAAAGTCCGTCTCCTGGGCGCAAAAGTCCCTCAGGCGAAAAGCTTTTGAGTACTTCAAAAAATTCCGGTTCTAATAGATCTAGAAGTCCAAGTCCTCGTCCAAAAAGTCCTGGTCGTAATAATTCGTCACGTTCAAAAAGTCCCCGCAGTAACCATAATAGAGCGGGAAGTGATAATTCAAATAATAAATCTAGTTCTCAGGATGCTCGTGTAGGATTAGGCAATAAAATTTTACATCCATGGGTTGCCCCTTCTCTCAATTTAAACGGTGAAAAGAACAATTCAAAAAGTGCGAATCGATTAAGTCTCCCAATTTTTCCTGATAACGCTAGTTTAAATGCCATGCGTGAAAGGAATGAAATATTGGCTTCAAAATTAAATCTCGTCCCATCTGAAAGCAAAGGAATGGGTAATTTTTCTAAACCTATTAACAGCCTTAGAGTCTCTGTCACGCGTCCAAAACTTCATGTTGAAACTTTCAGTCAGTTACTTGGAAGCAAAGCTATGCAAAGAACTCAATCAAGTCAACGTGTTGGAAAAAATAATGATTCTCCATTAGTGATCGCTGGTCTTCCTTTAAACCGGTCTAGGAGTCAAAATGCTGCTATGGATAGCAATACCACTACTTTACCTGCTTCATTTTTGAAAGAATTAGAAAAAACACATCCTCTTCAACATTCTTGGTATGTATAAATTTATTTCATTTTATGTTTTTTTTGTTACATGCTTTATTAAAATTTGGAATTTTTTTTTTTTTTAATAGGACAATGTACTATGATAGCAAGCCAGTTATGACTCCTGGCCCTAAAACACCAACAGGAATGTTATCATATGAAGAAAATTTGCAGACTATTGGTACTTTTGACACGGTAATTATGATACAAAATTCTATTTATTTATTTATTAACCTCTTTATGTCTTTATTTTTTATATTGACTATTTTATATTTCTTTTTTTTAAAGGTACAAACCTTTTGTCGATATTTTAACTGGGTAAAAAAACCCAGTCAACTGGAGTTAAATACAAACTTCCATATATTTAAAGATAAAATTAAACCAATGTGGGAAGACCCTGCTAATGCTAATGTATGAATTATATTTATTTTATTATTATTTTTTTTTGTATAAGTTTCAATAATTCATCAAACATTTGTTATTTTTTTAGGGTGGAAAATGGGTAATCTCTATGAGAAATCCCCCATTACTTGATCGATGTTGGACTTGGCTCGTATGTGCTTTGGTTGGCGAAGAATTAGATGAAAATGATGATATCTGCGGGGCAGGTACGTCTATTATTTTATTTAAAATAGTTCTTTGATTTATTTACATCTTCCATGCATTTATTATATGATTATATCACTACTTTATATAGTAATGTCTCGTAGGATTAGAGGTGATCGTATTGCCGTATGGGTTCGGGATAAAGATAATGTTGGTGTAATTAACGGAATTGGGTATGTTATATGTTACTTGATTATTGTATAATTCTTTTTTTTTTAAAAAAAAAAAAAAAAGATCCATAATAATAATAATTTTTTATCAATCGTTAGTCGACGTTTATTAAAAATTCTTGATTTGCAAAATGAAAAGGGAATCGGAATGGATTTCCAGGTATTTTTTTTTTTCTCAACTTTTTATTTATATGTCATATAATTTTATTTTTTTTCTAGTATATTAATCTTTCCTCTAAATATTTGTAGTTCAATGAAGATGCATTGAAATCTGGTACATCATATAATAATCGTGTATACTTATCTCTTGAAAGTCTTAAACAAGAATTAGAAAATGAAGAGAAGGCTAGACTAGAAGAACTTGCTAAGTCCGCAAAAAGACAAAGCATAACTTTTGATGACTCTAAAACTGATACTACTGTAACAACTCCAGATATTGTCACTATAGATGTGGACGCTGAAATAGACGCTGCTAATGCTAAAATTAATTTGTCTGATAAAAATAATAAAGAAAATGATGATCAGGATGATAGTCAAAAAGAAAATGAAGAAAATGGTGTTTATGACAATGTCGAAGAAAACGGTGATGATCAGAATGATGACAACTATAACGATGAAAATGGTGATTGTCAAGATGATGTTAACGGTGAAAATTGTGATAATCAAGATGATGTTAACAAGAAAAATGATGATTGTCAAGATGAAAATGGTGAAGATACCAATAATAAAGAAAACGGTGATTGACAAAATGATTAAAGTTAATTTCATTCTAGTTATCACTTTTATCATCTTTTAATGTATAGACTAGCTTCACACGTATCACTACGTGCCGCATTTAATCTAAATCATTCAACATAATACATTCAATTAACAAATGATATACAGGAAGAGAATCAGAAATAATGCAACAAAACATATGTATTTTTGATACACAAACGTCATAATTAGCATTTACACATTTAAATTTGTCTAAATAAATGAATAATAATAGTTTGTTGTGTTAATTTTGTTCCTTCCTGTATCTATAATCAATAAATCATTTATTTCACCATTTTTTTTATCATTTCTTATTGATGACGCTCATTACTATTATATTGAGCTTAATCACATTATAATGTTTATTCAGTTGTTATTACATTTTGATTTTTGTATATAGAACTTTTTAGTAAATTACTTTTTTATTTTTTTATTTTTAGTTCTATATAGAAATAATAAATATTTTAAGGATAAATATTGTAAATTATTTTTTATATAAATTGAATAATATATAAATAAAATATATTAATATTTTATTTTAGAATTTTTTTATTAATATAAAATATATATAGTATTTATACATGTAATTTTATTAATAAATTATAAAAACATATATATACTATATTTAATAATATAATAAAATTTATATTAGTATTTTTTTATAAATATATAAAATATATTTATAATATTTAATATTACTATATTATTAAAATTTAAAAGTTGTAAACTAAAATAAAAATAAATTTTAGTTATCTAAAATTTTAAATATTTTAAATATTATTATTTAAAATATAGTTAAAATTTAATATACTAGATTGAAAAATAAAAAATTAATTATAAAAAAGTTGAAACTATTATATTATATTAAAAATTAGTTTTTTTTAATTATTATATATAATATATTTCTTTTTTGAGAAAATGTTTTTAGTGCACTTGCACTGTAGTGTATCCTCTCTTGATTTTTTTTTAAAATTAGTTTATACTTATATATAGTAATTTTTAGACTAATATAAGAGCATTATTATATATAAAATTGTTAAAAAAAACAGGTTTACTTAGAAAACAAAAATAGATTTTCTTAGTAAAAAAAAAAGTTAAATAATAATTAAAAGTTTTTTTAAACTTTAATCTAATGCTAGCTCTTTTTTTTTTTACTTAGATAACTATCTTTTGTTTTTTAAATAAACTTGTTTAGCAGGTTAAATTACACTTTTAATTATGTCAAATTTGTAATTTTTAAACTTTTTACCAATATAAAAACTTAAATATCTGATTTTTTTTTTAGTTTTTTGTAAAATTTAGTATAATGTAGCATGAATTTTGCCATTTTTTATTGGCTAAATTAGGGGTGCACTACAATGCAAATGCACTAAAAACTCAAACCCTTTTTTTTATAGTTTAAAATAGTACATATAAATATTAAAATATTTCTAATAGTATTTTTATATTAATAATATATATATATATTTTTTTATTCTTTGATGAGCCTGCTAGGTGCTTTGAGTGAACATAATTCATATTACAAAGAAAAAATTTCTATACTATACTATAGATGGTTTGAAACTCTGAAGGCTAGCACTATCTGGTTACTATTCGGTTCTAGGTGTACTCTGTCGCACTGTTTAGATTTTAAACAAATAATAGTGATGGCCTATTTAGAACTACCTATTCCATCTTTTAAGACTTTTTTTATCTAAGTTTGGATAGAATATTTAATCTCTTATTCTTCTACAAGAAACAACAATATTTACCATATTTATAAAAAAAAAAACTATCTAGAACAAGACAGAAAAAAGAAAAAAAAAAGAAAAAAAAAATAACAAGAAACTAAAGAGAAAACCTATTCTAAATATAATTTCATCATAGTAAAACAAAGATAAAAAAAGCAAAAAAACGGAAGTAAGTAATCCTAATAGGAACTACCTATAAAAAAAAGTGCACTATTATAATCTGTACAAAGCTAAAAAATTATATAACAAATGCAATATCTATATATCTCTACTGTAAGACTTTGCTTTAATATATTGGTTTTTTTTTGACTCTTTGACCAAATCCTGATAAGTCTTTAACCAAGAACTAGTCAGTAGGCCTTGTCATGTGGAGTAGCAACATGTTTATTTTTAAACAAAACACATGGTTGCAATCTACTGGGTCGACCAAATTTGAAAGGAGTAAATAATACCGATTTTTTGATGAGAGTAAGCTATTTTATTTACTTTTTTTGAAAATTTTGAAAAATAAACAAGTGGGTGATAGTGTAGAAAATAGCTCTTGTACTCTTTTTAAAGAAGCGTATATTTTTTTCCAAAAATAGTAAATATAGAGAGCCAAGTTTATTGCTAATTTTCTTGTTAGTAGATAATAAACCCTAAACTTGTTAGCAAGTAGCATATAAGAACTACTTCTAAATAACAAATGCTATCCTCATAGTAAGTGATAAGCTCTAGGCCTGTTAACAGGTAGCATATAAGAACTATCTCTAAATAATAGATGCCAGTTTATAGTTTTTATTAGTTTTATGCTTTTCTTTTCTACTATAGTCTATTGTTTTTTAGAAAAAAAGTTTGTTGTATTTTTTGATACAAGGAATCATCAGAAAGAGTTGAATGTTATATTAATAATATTGTATTTTTAAAATTACTAATTAACTTATATTAATATTGTATTTTAAAATTACTAATTAACTTACAATAATATAGTATAATTAGATTTTTAATTTATACTTTTTTTTTAAAAAATTTGGCAGTTTTGCTTTTACTTTATTAGGTTTTAATAATATACTACAAAGATATATCAAAATTTACTAAAGAGCAAATTTTTAAATATTTAAAATTACAAGTATTAGCTTATTTAACTTCTTTAAAATCTAAATTACAATTGCCTATATTACAAGTTAAAATCAATATAACTTACATCTATTTTATATTTATCAGGTACAAAGTATTTAAGTAATATGTAGAATATCTTATACATATCTGCATATTAACAATACAAATCTTATATATATTCTATATATATTCTACAAAGTGTAGAATATGTATAAATATATATAGATTATGTATAGTATATCCTATATTAACCTTACATATTTGCTGCCTAATATGTATAGCTTAAATATAGTGTTATAGTAGGGAGGCCTTCTTAAACTCACTACTATAACAACAACATAGCTACAGAGATCCTTTACTGGTTTATAGCGGTGTCTAAGAAGTAAGTGCAATTCTTTAAGTTTGTTAAAAAACTACACCCTTCTCTAAGGCAGTTCGGTATAGAGACAAGGTTTATAGATAATTATAACTTTATTAATAATAAGAGATAAGGCTATCTGTTAGATTTCTGTGCCTAAGAAATTCTTTTCAAAGGTAACTATTTGTAGAGGAAAGAGGAAAGGGAGTAACTTGTCTAAGTTATTGGGGATTTCTAATATGTGGACTTGTTATTTGACTTGGGGCAAAAGTGGGGGTTTATATATTTGTTAGATAAAGCATTAATGCTTGTTAATTTACTATAGCTAAGTATTAAGCATTAAGCATTAAGCATTAAGTGTCAAGTGTCAAGTGTTAAGCATGCTTTAACAAGTTTTCTTTTTTGGCTAACAATACTTCTACTAAATATAGCAAAGATAATATAATAATAATAATAAAATAGAATAATAATTTGAACTAATATTTGTACATTCATGAAACTAATACTAAAGTCTATTTTATAATATTTCAGTTCTTTTAAGAAAATTTGTTCTACAAATTTCAAAACTTTAAACTATTAACTATGAATTCAAAATCTTTATTGGTTAATTTAACTATCTAGATCATAGCTAGATAGTTAGTCTGGTAGATTAAATCCTTTAATCAAAGAGAGAAAATTTTATAGATTCGTTGAGCTCTTTTAATGATATCTCTACTTCATCGATCTCCCTTTTGCTTCTAAATTAACTCCTTTATCTAGTATTGTTGTAGAGACTCCTTCTCTAAGAGGGATCCAAGATAATAATATATCTTGATGGTAATAATTCAGTTCTTATAGGATTTGCTATATTGTAGTAAAGCCTTTAAAATTTTGTCAACCTGAATTTTTCACTCCATAGCAACATATGTGTTGGTACAGCTATTTTCCTGGAGGTGCAAAGTTTGATTCAAATCTTCTTTGAGTTAAGTGATAACAGAACTCTTGGTAGTGTCTGCTTGAAGGGATGTTGGATTACTTAAAATATCAGTAGTTCCAAGTAAATCATCAATTTTATTTAAAATAGTAGTTTTAATTTGTAAAGTAATGTTAGCACATTGGTCGGGTTGGTCATTATCCCAGAGGAGTGTATTGGAATTTGAAATTCCTAGAATATAACAAGATGCAGGGTCCTGTTTCTAAACAGAAAGGAAGTGATGTAATGCTTGAATGGTGTTAGATTGTAGTGTAGTGTATTCCATTTCTTTAATTGGTAAAATCAGAAAAAATTCAATTGAGGTATCTAGTTAGCTATATATATATCTTTTGGGGTTACGTATTTATTTACAAGAAATTTTCTTGTATCACTCCCAGACTAACAAATTTCTTCTGAAAATTTGCGATTTTTTACAACAACTATTGGTTCCCATATCTGTACTTCGTAATACTTTGCAAGTCAATTACTATTATAATATTTCTGTAAGATTTTTCCTTCTAAGGTTCGTAACTTGTAAGCTTCATTTCCTAATTTCTCATTAATAATAAAAGGTCCTGTTCGTTTATTTTCAAATTTAGCAGAACGTGATATCTTAATATCTTTTCATTATATCCATATTTTGTCTCCTATATTAAATTCTTCTATACATATTCATAAGTCAAAATACTTTTTCTGTTTTTCCTGGGATTTCTTGATATTTTTTTTTGTATTTTCTTGAAGTATCAGTAAATTTT